ACACACACAGAGAGAGAGAGAGAGAGAGAGAGAGAGAGAGAGAGAGAGAGAGACGTGTGTGTGTGTGTTTGTGTGTGTGTGTGTGTGTGTGTGTGTGTGTGTGTGTGTGTATTTGTGTGTGTACACGTGAGCACACACGTGCACATACACAGGATTGACCTATACCTGTCCTAGAGAAAATGGATCCCAATAGAAAATAAATAAACATTTATTCTGCTTGTAACTTGATAATGAACTTCCTTGGTATATGGCACAATTTTTACTAAAGTGGATGGAACTACTTTGTCCCTAAGTGTGTGATATATTGGTAAAACAGGTAAATTTGAGTGAGAAGGAAAGAATCTCCCTAAGAGCAAGACCTACTTTAAACTTCCCAAAATATGTAATGTGCCCAAGAGCAAATTCTTAGACTAAACCATCTAAAGGGTCTTATAAATAGCTAGAGTGCTTCAGTTGGTCAGGAACGAGGGATATTCATCCCTACAGACTAGAAGGACAGAGAACCAAGAGTAGCAAGGAAAAACTTCCCTCTGATGTCAATATAGAAACAGCAGAATATTTTAGTTCCTTTCTGTCATGCTTCCTTTGAACATATTTTCACATGCAGGGGTTATGCCTTTTCTGGAAATATGTTTTAGACTAATGTAAGATTTGATACCCAGTGCATCCACATATCAAGGGCATCTCTCTACAAGAAATTTCCCTTTTTGAGTCATATTTTATGTATAATCCCATTGGGCTACATCATCATCATCATCATCATCATAATGCTTATGTAAGCATCCCAACCAGGTGCTATGGAGACCATCATCATTAGGAAACTTTGAATTTTGTTAGTATAATGAAAAACTGTGCAGGTAAAAGCAGCATGAAATTAGGAGTCCATGTTTTAGACATAAAATTTTGAAACCTGAATTTGTTTTCTCCATTTATAGAAACACTGCACTCTGTGCATGTCATATAACAGTAACTAATGGAAACATTTGCAAACTTTTGCCTAAGTGGGGGAAAAAGTATAACTCTTTACCTATCTGCATCCAAAGATGAAAATATTGAATATCAGTATAAAAATCCAAGGTGCTTGGAAACATTTTGTTATTCTTAGGAAATATATAACCTAGAACTGAAACACAAACTATCTCCTTACTTATGGAATATTAGCACTTCTGTGTAGGCAGTTGTAATAGAAACTTTAGTGACATTTCTAAGAATTCACATTCTCTTCCCCATTATTCTCCTACTCAAAGAAGAGCATGTCCAGAGAAGAATTAATATTCTCCTAGCATCATCAACAGGCCAACACCACACTAAGTACTTTTGTGAATAGAAGCAAAGTTAATTTTACATATATTAATTTCCTGTCAAAAATCGAATAACAAATATGGAGAAGATTCAAGATGTAAACTACTTTGGATCCATTTTATCCTTAAGACTGAGAAGTTTTTCCTTTAAAGACTTTTCATCGGTAGGAAAAGGATCTGTGAAGTCTCAAAACAGAACATTTAAAATTAATGCAATATTCATCTTTTTATGGTTCCTCTTAGTTAACATGTTGAAATCTATTCTCTGTAAATACGCCCACACTTAACCTCTTCTTTTACTTTCATAAATCCAAACTAATGACACTCTCAAAGAAAGAGTGTGAATGGCCAACTACTTAGAATAATTCTGATGAAAAGTAAAGATAGTCATTCTTAGAATGCAGCACTTGTTCTAAGTAGGGAAGGAGTTTTCCTATTGTTAGTTTATTACTTCTCATTAGTGCTTTTGGAACTGACTTTGCTCTGTTTCTGACCATACTATCCATTTCTGACCATGTTTGGATGAATCATAAGAAATACCATCATAGGTTCTGATGCCCATACTCAGAACTGCTAATCTGGAAAATTTCATACTCCTGTGGGAAGTAGGGCAGTGAGGATTTAGAGAAATTAAGCAGCTTATATTATCTCAGTGGTAGATCAAATTGGTAGAGAAGTCTCATATCTTTAAACTTAGCTCTTCACTAAGGGCCATGGATGGTCTTAGCTCTGGGTGTTAAGTTTTTGGTTGGCAGATTCTGTGGATTTCCCATTAGTTTTCCATTAGACCAACCAGCTACTGGACAATCAGTGGAGTATATTACATCATTTACTTCCAGGAACCACTCAAATTTTCATGTAGGGTCCCAGTAGATTTACTTGTTTTAAAGATAAGCAAGAAAGGCTCTAGACAGGAAAAAAAAAAAACATTCATCATTAGAACTTGCAATCAGAATTTCTAGAAGACTCATAGTCCATCTCTTTCCTATCCCTAGAACTGATCTTAAACACTGTTTTCGTAAACAGCCTTTACTAGAAGAGATTTTGAAAGAAGTTTTAGAAATCCTCCTGTTCTATCACTCAGATACTGGACGTGAGTCAATCAACCTGGAATTCTGATGAGCTTTTCTGTAATAATTTCAGTGTCTCTGAGACCAGCTAGCTTTACAGAAGATGACTCATCTCAGATTCACATATTCCCGTGTTTACAAAGCTATGTTGTACACTAGTGTTTCAGTTTCAACTACTCTTGTGTAGAAGTCTGACTGCTGTGATCCGAACAGGCAAACTTGCATGGATGATCTGTTAAAAAATAGATCTCAAATTATGGTTTCCAAAATTTTATGAAAACAGAAAGAAAAATGCTCAGTTCACATTATCCTCAGCCATAATATTGTGGTACCAGAGTAGAACGCATAGTTAAACTAAGTCAAGGTCCACTGGGAAGTTCATCCATTTTATAGCTACTTTGATAAAGACATTTAGTCAATTTGCTTATATTTATGAATTTTTAATATTTATTTATTCATAATGTCTATAATGGTATTTCAAGTCATTAAAATGGAATAAAGATTGTAAATTTTTAGTTGTGAAATGTTTTAAACACAAAGAGTAGATGCCAGGCATTGCTGGTGCATGCCTTTAATCCCAGCACTTGGGAGGCCGAGGCAGGCAGATATCTGTGAGTTCGAGGCCAGCCTGATCTCCAGAGCGAGAGCCAGAATAGGCTCTGAAGTTACACAGAGGAACCCTGTCTCAAAAAACAAACAAACAAAAAACACAGGAAAGAATAGAAAAGAGACAATGTGTTTAAATAATTTATTACAGACACATACATTTAATATGAAAAGAGGAATAGTAGTTTCACCATGAACAGAAGATCGACACCAGGAG